ATTAACATTTATGTCTTATATGAAATAAGGTACATTCTCTATTCTTGCATTATTCAAGTGTTTACATAGTTTTGCCCCAGGTAAAAATAGTAAAATGTAAAATTTTAATTCATTTACATTTTGTGCTATGCATCATCATCATCATTCTGTACATTTTCAACTCTTATCTTATTTTACAATATACAAGTAAATACACATTTTAAGGGTCTTTTCCCATCTTACCTTACATTATTTTTACATGAACAGAATGTGCCATAAAAGATTTAGCCTGGTTGTATTTTGGTACTGTCATTATGTTTAAGCATTTTGTTACAAAGTACAGTTTAGGTGTTGATTATTTTAACGAAAAAAAAAAAAAAAAAGATTTAATAAGATATATCTCTTGGGCTGGCCCTTTTTTTTTTTTTTTTTTTTTTTTTTTTTTTTTTGAAACCGTAACGTAGGGAGGCGGGCTCAGTGAAGGGTCAATTGTGTTAGTATGTGTGTGTTAGCTATAACTGTTGTCTCCATATGAGGTCCAAAAGAGGGTGTGTGTACAGCAGCTCTAAAAATACCCAGGAGGCACTGTGCATATATCGTGTTGCAGCTAAACCAGTGAGATGTACTTCATGTGAGCAGAAAAAGCTTTGATTTTCTTTTGCAGTTTAGTTTGCAAAAACTAGAAACCTCCAATCATGGGTGAAACCAGTGTAGATGGAGCCAAAATGACAGGTATAGTCTGACATGTTTAGACGTGGGCTGTTTTTGCTGGTGCTTTTACTGGTGTGGTGTGAGCAAAATCTATATCTGTCAGATATAGTGTAACGTCTCACATGGGGTTGTTGACCTCAGTGCTGGTTTGAGCATGAAGTCTGAAGTTAATCTCTTTGTGTGTTTGTGTATTGCATTTTTCATAAAGTGTGAGCTTGTTAAATTGTTTATGTCATGCCATTTGTAGTTCATTCATAACGTGCCACTGTAGTTTTGGTTGTAACAACTTTTTGTAATTATTTTTACATTTGAATTGTTTTCATTTAACAAATGTATGTTTGATAGTTTGATAATTGGTTGTGTTTTGGACTGACTAATCATTGTGATACTAATTACACTGGCCCTGTCGACCTCGTGAGGTCACACCCACGTATATGTAGCCACTCCCCATTCATAGTTTGGGCTGAAAATTAGACCCGTTAGAGTATGATCACATGTCTGTATGTGCATGTAACATACAGACGACCTTGCCAGTCAAGTGTAATACAAGCTGTTATATGATCGTGTTATTTTTTAACCCTTTGTTATTTGCCTCTGTGAGTAAACCATTCCCTGTGGCTTTTTACATTCAACATTTGACCTCATTTCAGGACGTTACAGGTACTTTCATAGAATAAGAAGTGCACAATGCCAGAAGAGCTATTATTACCGAACTGAAAACTCCGTAGTGCCAGTAGGGGTGACAAATGTAACAAGATGATATTAAATTGTTAGTTTTGTTAGTTCACTCAAAAATGAACAATGTCATGTACTCACCCTCATGTTGTACCAAATTTATAAAACTAAAGATGGACTGATATAAGTTTTTTTTTAATGGCCGATGCTGATATGTTACAGAGATGGGTAGATATGTGTATATACATATAGGGGTGGAACGGTTCAAATTACTCACGGTTAGGTTTGTATCACGGTTTTAGAGTCAGGGTTTCGGTATGGATTGGTATGTGCTATGTTTAGGAAAAAACTATACTGTCAAATAAAAATAAAGAAAATAAGAATAGTCTATCTAACTACAAGCAACATCACAAATAAATACAATAGAGTAAAGATACAAATAAAATAAACAGTGATTTTTCGTTTTTTTACATTTAACATTAGTTTTTAGGTACAGAAATTGAATAAAGTAATGAAATGTAAAACAGCATTGCATATTTGACTGTATAAATTAAAGATTAATCTTTATTAAAGTTACAAAAGCTATTTAATCAAGAGCAGTGAGTAATTTCTTTGTTGTTGCTGTTTGATTAATATTAAGAAAGTGCTGTCACTTTAAGAGAACGCACTGATCCAGTACAGTACGTTCAGCCGGCTATGTCTGCTATAGGATACTTACCAAGACGGGCATTTTGACATCATTTTTGTGTGAATTTGTCCATTTAAACTCAGTACTTCAGAGAGAGCTTAATATTTGCGTGTGTTCTGAGGCGCGGGTTTTCACGCTTCGGATGAGCGCACGCACAAATCTTCTCACTGCGCGCACAAGCTCGCGTCCTCTGGCTCTTAAATGTTTGAAATGGCAAGTGGCAAAGCTTAAAGGAGTTTAGCTTAGACACAGATATCAACATGTGCTGTTCAGATCTCACCTGTGCACGCGCGCTATCAGCACCCGGGTGATGACGGAATAAATGCTTATATTCCAGCATACAGCATTCGCTTTGAACTAGAGTGAATGGTTTGTCCACGTTTTTTTTTTTCATCGCTGTTGTTTTAATGTATTGGGAAGCCAGAATGCACATCCATCAACAGAAACATATATTAGCCGAACCCTGTTTGTTTTACGTGTTATTTATAGCAAACCATATTACAGATGCGTTGTGAGATTTAAGTTGAACCGCGGTCCTAGCTTTTTTTCCGCGATCCGTTCCACCCCTAATATCCACCCAGCTCAGTAACATATTAGCATCGGCCATTTAATTTTTCAAAAATAAAAGGATCAAAAACATGAATAAAAAGCAAGTAAACGTTGTAACCAACAGTGCACTTAATCAAATGGCCTTTACATATTGAGAATCATATTTTCTCCAATAAAGACCAGGCAATGCTAATTTTACATGTGAATATGACATAGCATCCAGCTGGATATAGCACAGCATACATGTGTTTTGAGCTTTGAAGCTGACTGCTTGTGCTTAGCTGAACTTTCCTGTCTTCATCCAACAAGCATTAATCAGGGTAGCGCAATATTAAAATTTTGGCAGGAGTAGGGCTGGACGATATGACCAAAATTTATATCACGGTATATTTCTTAATTTCGGTCGATACAATATAATTCCGATATCGATATGAACACTATTTAAAAAGCCTCATAAAAATGGCCAAGAACGGCCACAACAGATGTCTGTACCTACAAACTTATGAAAAATTAATTTGCCAACATCTTGCAGTTCAAAAACCTTTGACTGGCAGTGTAGGCTGATTATTATTATAGATTGAAACGTGCATTAACCAGGGTTACGAGTATGAAACATGCTCCGAGTTGCTTCAGAAAAATAAAAAATAGAGCAACAACAAAAGCATGTTGCTGGAAATGGGTTTATTATTGAAAATGCAAACTGCTTGTCTGCCAGCAGGAGGCGCTGTGAGAGCGGTGGAACTAACGGTTTCTCCAGTGCTCATGAACGCTACTTTATCAGATAAAAATGCCATCGAAACTATTCTGAAGACAGTCGGTTCCCTTCAGAGATACATTCATATAAAACACCCGCTGTGTTATGATTTTGAAACGTGCAGTGCTCATGTTTATTCAACGAAGTCAAACGCCACAAATAAATCAGTGTATGGGAAACCCTGGTAATGTATATCGAAATATTGGAAATGTGTTTAAAAATCATATCACTGTTATTGAAAAAAATTATATCGCGATACATACTGATATTGAATTATTGTCCAGCCCTAGGCAGGAGTGAAAATGAGCCTGTGAGGGATAAAATTACTGCATGTTCAACAGGTTGTACTGGTGTGATAACATTGATATGATACCTAAAATTGCTCTTTCTAACCTGCCCCCACATGGCTAATTTCACGATTCCTTCGTCGAATCCGCCGGCTGCGCCGTTCTCAAGCCCACCGGCTGTTCCTCACTCAAACCCGCCGTGTGTGACGCTGTGCGTTTCATGGTGAAAGCTAAACTACTTTGTTTGGTCTTCCAAAAGAGGACACGACTAGAAATCAGTGGTTAAGTTATATTTACTACACTGTTCCAGAACAGTTCAACCCAAATATTCAGATGTGTGCAGCACATTTTATGGAGGACTGTTTCCTGATCCAGTTAGAGTAGACTACAATGCTGGCTGTTCTGACTCACAGACTGTAAGTACGTTTTCATATTTAAAGGATTTGCCACTGATGATTCAAATGTGAGTTTTGAGCAGTGTAGAGTAGCGCTTGTTGTTTGTCATTTCTCCGATCACAAATGCAGACATGGTTTTATGTTTACGTCATTATAATCAGTAATTATGTCCCCACTGGATGCAACAAATGCCCCGTTTGTAATGGGTTTTCATGTTTTGGTCTCGTCGCTCCGGCCAGACAGGGCATCACAGTATGGTAGGGTGCGTAACATTTCCGTCACACGCTTGAGGTATTCGGCCAATCACAATGCACTGGATAGCTGGCCAATCAGAGCACACCTCGCTTTTCAGACCGACGAGCTTTGTAAAAATCGACGCGGTTCAGAACGGCGAGGCATGGAGGTAATGTACAGTATGTGGAAAATAATGTGTTTTTTGAACCTTAAACCGCATAAACACATTTCATTACACAAAATAATGTTTTTTTTAGCAACATCATATGACCCCTTTAACTGCTGTTTTCTTACCACTCATTTTTGTTGTGTTTATTTTGTTATTGGGAAGATAAGTGTTCAGCACATATTCACATATTTATCAAACCATTTTTTTAAAATGGGGAAATAGGGAAATCATTAATGTTCTGAATATGAATAAAAGTCCTATGGATTTGGAATGACATTAAGAGGTAAGGGTAAGAAAATGATAATAGAATTTTCATTTTTGGGTGAATTAATACTTTACAGTGTTTTTTTGTTTTTTTTGTGGTTATATTACATTAAAATAATTGCTTTTTGTATTTGTTTAACTAGCATTTTTGAAAAACTAATCTGTTTCTAATTCTAATTCTGAATTCAGTTTTTCAGTGTACATTTAGTTTGCATTTAACTTAGAATGATAGCTTCTGACAGAGACTGTAGTTTTGAGTATCTCATATCCGATTCTGTTTGTGTGTCTTACCAGACTCTCCAGGTGGAAATGCAGCCATTAAGAGTGAAAAAAAGACAGAGAAAAACTCTTTCTTTAGCTGGCTGTTGGTGCTGGCTTTGCTGGGGGCTTGGCTGTCTGTGGGTGTCATGTGGTTTGACCTAGTTGACTACAACAGTGTGGTTGGTAAGTTTAAAAATTTTTTTTTTTTTTAAACAGTCTTGCAGGAATGTAGACTGCTCACATTTTGTGGTAAAATTATTAGTTTTTTGAACAAACAAATGGTCACCTAAATGATTCATGCAGATCTCTGGAGTGTTTGCGTCAACATTTTTTTATAGTATTGTAAAAGTGTGTGTGTGTATATATGAGAGATCCCCTGAAAACACTCCTTCTGGGGAAAAAAATTCTTTTTTCCTGTATTTTTTCTTCATTTTATTCTTGTATTATTTTTTCCCTTAATGATTAGTAATACAATTCATGGAAAGATGACCAAATTTAGTACAAAATAACAAATAGTAAAAATAGTAAATTATATTGCTTAAATAAAGGGTTGCAGAAACACCCTTGATTGAATACAATAACTGTGTAATGTTCTAGTACTTGGTATGTACTTCATAACTTTAAGTATACTGTTCTTCCCTTCTTGGCATTGAGTGTACAAGTTCATAACAAATTGTCACATCTGTCCTATTTAACTCCAGGAGGACAACCTCCTTAAATGCCCTCCTGTAAATGCCAGTGTTGCTCAACTTGTCTCTACAAAATCCCCCACAGGTGCTTAAAGGTGCACTAAGCGATTTTTGCCAAACGATGTTGATATTTGAAAGCACCAAAACAAACACGCCCATATCCCAACAGGACCTCGCCCCTATTTTGAAATCTCCGCCCCACACAAACATACACAACCCTGGCATAACGACGATCGTTGAAACAAGCGAAGTTGACACACAAGCATATTCAAACAAAAGCACAACACAGATGAGTTGTGTGAAACAATGCAAAATCAACATTACTCACCTATCACAAAGAAACAACGCAACCTCGGCATTCGATTAGGCCGCTCCTTGAGTTCTCTCCACCGCTGGAAAGCTGCTCCGATATTTACGTGGGTCCTACCTCTTGCCTGATCGTAACCCTTCTTTTAAGTGTTTTGTTCCTCCGATATTTTCATATCGCTTTATCTATAGTTGATCTGCTAATATCCGTCCTGTACACTCAAATTGAGTGCTCTCTTCTCTCTATACAAGACACGCCCCCTTACTGCTGATTGGCTGCAAGTGTGTTTTGGGACACAGTCCGACACTGCAGTCAAAAGCGTTTTTCAAAAATTGCTTCGTGCACCTTTAAGAGTGTTAGACGGAATGTCCACCAAAGTGTTTTTTTTCCCAAGGCTACTGTATTTTGTTTCCCAGTTGTTTTCAATAAGAGCGCCACATTTTTTTAAATGCCAGGAACGTGACAAGGCGCTGAGCGTTTATTTTATGCTAAGCGTTGTGTGCTTGGCATTTTTTTTTTCTCGCCGATGAGAGTTCAAGAATATCTATAGTCGATCTGCTAATATCCGTCCTGTACACTCAAATTGAGTGCTCTCTTATCTCTATACAAGACACGCCCCCTTACTGCTGATTGGCTGCAAGTGTGTTTTGGGACACAGTCCGACACTGCAGTCAAAAGCGTTTTTCAAAAATTGCTTCGTGCACCTTTAAGAGTGTTAGACGGAATGTCCACCAAAGTGTTTTTTTTCCCAAGGCTACTGTATTTTGTTTCCCAGTTGTTTTCAATAAGAGCGCCACATTTTTTTAAATGCCAGGAACGTGACAAGGCGCTGAGCGTTTATTTTATGCTAAGCGTTGTGTGCTTGGCATTTTTTTTTTCTCGCCGATGAGAGTTCAAGAATATTCACCTTTGGGTAAAATGCTGCACTCATCATTGTCACTTTTTAGTCAGCTAGCCAATCACAGTTACTGCTGATTGGCTGCAAGTGTGTTTTGGGACACAGTCCGACACTGCAGTCAAAAGCGTTTTTCAAAAATTGCTTCGTGCACCTTTAAGAGTGTTAGACGGAATGTCCACCAAAGTGTTTTTTTTCCCAAGGCTACTGTATTTTGTTTCCCAGTTGTTTTCAATAAGAGCGCCACATTTTTTTAAATGCCAGGAACGTGACAAGGCGCTGAGCGTTTATTTTATGCTAAGCGTTGTGTGCTTGGCATTTTTTTTTCTCGCCGATGAGAGTTCAAGAATATTCACCTTTGGGTAAAATGCTGCACTCATCATTGTCACTTTTTAGTCAGCTAGCCAATCACAGTGGAGGAGGGGTGGGACTAATACAACAACGACCAACTGTTACACCCTGTTTGTATGACTAAACGCCAATGGAGAACTTAATATTGCTTGTCTCTGAGTATTCATGTCTTCACCAGATGGAGTTCCCGGACTACCACAATATTGTTATGAAAAAGAATGCTTGGGAGAAGCATGTGTCTGCCATATTTCTCTAAAATGCTGTGCCCTCTGGCACTCACAGCTAAGCATTGTCAGTAGAGCTCCTGGCATTCTCAGCTGGTTAAAAATGCATTGGTGCATAACACAAGGTTTTACTATATAAGAAAAAAAATTTCTATAGAATGTTTTATATGTAAGACCTTATTTTAACTATTGCATGAACTGCAAAGTTTAACAAACTTTTTTCCGTTTTCTGTCAGAATCAGACACTGTTGATCACAAAGTGTGTAAATATTGATTATCTTGTTGCATAGCTTGGTTGATAAAAACTTCTAATTAAATGGTAGGACCAGTAATGATACACACACCAGGTTATAGAGAGGGTCATAAACCATAAACTAATCTAGTTATTCTAGCTGTCTGTCATAATATTGATCATAATAACATGAGATAAATGTAAATGTTTTTTTGTGTGTTTAGTTTCATGTAAATTAGTCTTTGGTTTGCTGATTGATTTGTGAGGGGACATACAGAATAGAAAATTCACACCCATCAGGAATCAATGTTTTATTGCCCAAACCAGAGATGTATACTGTTCAGTCATGCTCAGTGTGAATGAGCCTTAACAACCTCATGGTCCATTGTGGATGTAAAAGGATGTACAACAAAAGCACAAACAGGGTCTGGGCCAAAAAAATTACGTTTGGAAATGAATTTGGTTTACCGTGTTACTGTGTTGTACCCTCTTTACTCTGCATCTTTACTTGCTCGTTATACAAGTATTTTCTTTTATCCTGGTTCAATGAAAGGTGCTCTTGGAGGAGTATATGATGCTGATGGCGATGGAGACTTCGATGTAGAAGATGCCAAAGTTTTGTTGGGTGAGTGAGATTTACTTGTGTATGTGGCTTTTTTCTGGCATGACTGACTTAGGTGACAACCCATTCAAAAGTGTCAACTCTTTCTATCTCTCTGTTTTTTATCTCCCTTATTTATTTTGAGACTTAAGATAAGTGGTCTAAACAAGCTTTTTCTGTGTCACTCAATTTAAGTGTGAGGATGTCATGAACATGGTAGTATACTCCTCCGCTATCAAATGCAGAAGTGTGTCTGCATTTGAGGTTTCCTGTCATTTGACAGTGTTAGCAAATACTTAGCATGAAACTGTTTGGTTTTGTGTTAGTGAGGCTGGACGTAATTCGGGGGAGAAGAATTGTTAAATAAATTGTTATTTTTGTTTTCTTTGCGCTCAAATAGTATTCTCGTAGCTTCGTAGTTGAGCCATTGATGTCACATGGACTGTTTGAAGATGAACGAAGGCCTTACGGGTTTGGAACAACATGAGGGTGAGTAATTAATGACAGAATTTTCATTTTGGGGTGAACTAACCCTTTAACAAAAACATTATTTTTCCGCCAAACAATGTAGTTCCTCAGTTACCGTTACGGTTGTGGTTCCAACAAAGCCGAGCAACACACAAATGTAAACAAAGGTGTATGTTTGTAGAGTATTCCACGGTCTGTCTGAATACTGGGTTCTGATTGGCTGGCAGGTATGCAGTAAAACCGTTTAATGCACAAGTAGTTCCAAGTCAGTTTAATCACCGTTCTATATTAATGCGCTGCTTTAATTGATGCACACTAACCAAAACGCATCAATCACTCGCACACAGAGAGAGAGAGGTCAGAGATCTCTGATTGCGCTGCACACACACAAACTCGTTGTCAACACTTCCCCGTGATTTTCATTAATAAAATAGCCTAGATACTAAATCACTACATTATATTCCCCAGCAACCAGGTGGTAAAATAGTTTTTGAAGTAATTGTTTGTACAGAGAGACGTGCAGACGCAGCACGCAGGTACACACAACTGTCATCTCTCTCTCTCTCTCTCTCTCTCAAACAATCAATCGATAATTAATTGAACTACATGCTATAATTCATTCAAATATATGTGGTCTTACCGCACTATTTCATCTCTGTGTATGATTTGAAGCGGGCAGAATGCTAGCGGTAACGTGCCGTTGGGTAATTTTTACCCATTCGGTCAAATATTGTGCTGCAAAGAGCAATGCTAGTTTTAACTTGTCTATAACTTGGCAAATGACCATGGAATAAGCGGGATAATCAAATGCTAGCCGTGCGTTAAAGGATTTTAAATGCACTTCGCGGAGGCAACCCGCTTCGCGTCAGGCGGTTCTTTGCCTCGACGTTGTGTACTTAAAATCCTTTAATGCACGGCTAGCCGTTGATTATCCATTACATAATTTACAACAGCGTCGAACTTGGCTCAACCAATCAGAATCATATATCCGTTTTATAATTATCTTTCTATGCGTGTGTATATTTGCCTTTTTATTTATTGGTATTCATATAACTTTCTTCCCTTCAGAAAATGCTACTGTGGCTGCTAAGGAAAAAACCTTAAGAAAAAATGTCACAACAGAAGGAGACCGTATCCAAGCAGGCCATTCCAAGCTTACATGTAAAGACATTTTTGTGGCTATCATGGCCACGTGTCGTGTACCTATGCTTTGTGTTTGTCGATTGTGTTTGCTTGCACTGAGAAAGCTGCAAAACGATGTAGCTTTTCTCTTACACTGGCATGTTGGAAGGTATCCATTGGTGTGTTGTTTGAGGTCTTTGAAGAAGCAAGTAGCATTTTATTCTGATTTGGCTCTTGGCTCACAAACTTGACTGAAGTGGATTCATGAGAGTGTATGGTTAAAAATAAACTTTACAAATTGACAAATGAATGGTTATTTGAAACAATAAAACAAATTCGATTTTTAAAATAATTGAATTAATGTTTAAATATTATGTAAATGTATTTTTTGAAAAAATATAATTGTTTATTGCAGAAATATTAAAAAGCATTTTTATAAATAGATTAAGGAAAGCAATTAAAATTATTTATCAATGTATATTATTATTGTTACATTTAGCTACATTTTTAAACAAGTACATTAATTTGTTTTAAATCTATTTGTCAATTTGAAAAGTTTTTAACTTATTTTTGAATTAATATAATGACAATTTCTGTTATTGATAATTGACACTTTCATTTGAATTTATTTTTAAGTGGCACTGCTTGTCATGGTTGTCTGATGCATCACTTTGTAGATCCCTGCATGGTGTCGTCTGTGTTGCAACATTTATATAGAGAAGGACAGCTGTGTGTAATGCAATGTGCTTCAACAATATTAGCCCTCACAAAAGTAATGAAAATGTTTTAATTTGCACATACAGTACTTACCTTGTAATTGTGCAAGACTTATACAAAAATATAAGTTACTTTGCAGCCTACATAAAACCATAAAGCCTTATAAGGACACACAAGTTTTTCTCCAAACTGATATTTAACAATAACGTGTAAACCTCTATGACAGACCTACCATGAGTTGCATTTTTGACCCTTAATATATCCTTCTAGAGGCCACAAGCCAGCATAGTTCAACTTATTTTTTCCCCTAATTTCCCAAATTCAGTTCACAGTATTGAGTGTATTTTTCTTTAAAATGTTCTTACCATAAAAATGGAATTAGTAACAGTAACAAAAAAAGTCAAAAGTATAGATCAAATTTGTAGAATCTAAGCATATTAGCATTTTGGTATTGAGAATCATGAAAATCTGCATTGATATTCAATACTGAACTATTGGTATTAACTTAAAAAAAAATAAAGAAATCAAGTTATAAAAATTGTATGATTTTTCTTTAAAATGTTCTTACCATAAAAATGGAATTAGTAACAGCAACAAAAAAAGTCAAAAGTATAGATCAAATTTGTAGAATCTAAGCATATTAGCATTTTGGTATTGAGAATCATGAAAATCTGCATTGATATTCAATACTGAACTATTAGTATTAACTTAAAAAAAAATAAAGAAATCAAGTTATAAAAATTGTATAGTGGATTTCTATAAGTATATCAGATGCTAATAATACTTAGAAATCATAGGTTTAAACAAGTAAATGTGTTAAATTGCATGTGCAAGTTTTTGCACTGAATTGACACTATCAACCGATAGTGGATTTTACCAATAACAATAACCGATAATAACAGATTAATCAACCAATAGTTTTTAAAATTGATACTGAATGAAAGCAAACATAACGCTCCAAGCAAAATAGTGTAAGAATTGGACCATGAAAATGTACTGTACTTTAATTAATTAAATATTAACAGAGGTGGGACCAAGTCGCTGTTTTGCAAGTTACAAGTAATGCCCAATCCCAATTCTACCCCTTAACCCTTTCCCCACCCCTCCGTTTTGCGCGTTCATATGAAGGGGTAGGGGTGTCTCTCCTTTGGTTGGAGGGGTAGGGGTAAGGGGAAGGGCCAGATAGCACTTCAAACGAAGATTTTTCGGGACCACACTTCCAACGAAGGGGTATGAATTATCTCAGCGTAAACCAGCTTCATCTGCAACATGGCTGCCCGATCGAACAAAAAGACATATAAATGTAAGCATTTTTGGCATTAATAAAGATTTTAACGAAAAGTAATAATTTGTTTTGTTACATTCAATCGTGAGTTTATATTTACGGTCATGTTTAGGGGTGCTCCGATCAGGATTTTTGAGGCCGATCACAGAAAGCAGTATACCGATACCGATGTTTTTAAAGCCTTCCTTTTTTTATCATTTATAACTGCTTATAGTGATACTCCAATCAGGATTTTTAGACATTTATTCAGGGCCTGAATTTCATTTTTGAAAATGGGGGGAATTCCCCTCTTAGGTGTCTCTTGTGAGAGGAGAAGCAGCTTTCACACAGGAGTCCGCTACTGAGCCGTGGCTGTTTACCACAAACACAACATTTATCCATTATTTTGATTTCAAATCCGAACATTGTCACTGAAATTGCTTTTTCAGCATTGCAATTCTTTTTCTTTTTTTTTTTACACAGTACAGTAATACAATCTTTCAAAGACATGTTTAACAATAAACATAAGCAACACATTATTCATTGCTTTTTACTTTTGCATTTACTTTAGATTTATATTTTAAGTTGCTCAAGCAAGTGGCAAAACATTTAAACTACTTTTCTTACGTTATCACAAACTTACCATTGACAGAAATGGTCAACTCTACTGCCTTTCCTTTTGCATTTAAATCTTTATTAAAGAACTTTGTTTTCCTACCTGCCATCTATTATTGTCTTGTTTATCTAAAAGTGCTCTTTTCCTTTAAACCTAGCCAAAAAGCCATATGTGTTTACTGTGAAACACCGTAGACTTTAATAATGTGCATTTATGGTGTAATTACTACATTTTCGTGTCAATCCATGTTCATATTTACTGCAAAAATTGCTTGCAGCGCAGCAAAAATAGACTCGGTACGGAAACCATCTCTGTACTGCTGCAGACGCACCGCTCGTGGAACGCACTGCTGGACAGCAACAGTGTGCAGTGTGCGCGCTTTATTAATCCGTTAACATGAGCGTGGAAATAATACGCACCACATACGCACAGCAAATGGAGTAATGTGAACCTGGCATTATGTATGTGCACTGCGAGTGCTAGTGTGCATGAGCCCACGGTCTCCAGGAGAGCGGGCCCGCTCCTGCTATATATTCACTCTTTGTTCACCCACTCTCCACTTAGAATAATTTTCTACCCGACCGTTCCCACTAAATTTAGATCTCGTTTCCAGAATCTCACATTTAAATTTCCACTACTGAAAGAAAGAGAGCTGACAAATAAAAGTGTAGTCTGCACAAAATTGTATGTTATTTTATTCGTCTTGTCAAGAGTCTTGAATTTATTGACTTTGACTTGAATTTATATGAATTATCTTAAGACACAAAATTGGTTTAATATTTTATGCAACACAGTAGGAAAAACGTGTCAGAGAAAATAAAAATGTTGTACAAAAATTTTATTTCTTATTTTTATTCGTCTTGTCAAAATACTAAATTAGTTTGACATTTTTCTGTTAACACCGTAGGAAAAGTGTCGCAGAGAAAAATAAATAAATGGGACATCTTTCATTTAAAATTATAGGCCAAGCAAAATATAAACAAAACCGAGTTGAACGTCCTTCAATGAAAGCGCATCCACACTTTGCTCCATCTTTATTCTGCTCTGTCACTCATCGACAACCTGCCTGTTCTGTCTGAGGGCGGTATATTTACCACAGGTACAGCCTGCTCTGAGCATATGCACATGCTGCGCACAGACCATGCAAATAAAACGTGTGACGTTTAAAGCATGCGTGCAGTGCGTGCATAACAGTCCTAAACGCAAGCTGTACCGGTGGTCAATAAGAATAAAGCGCAGATATGCTGTTCTAAATGGACGTCGGGAACGGGATATTGTTAGACCATCCACTCGCATTCAAATTACACCAGAGTTACCGACCGCTACCGCATTTTATTCGGGAATTTAATCCTGTGGCGTAAAAAATCCGGTCGGGTCCCGTGGTTCCCGCGGGAATGCAGACCTCTAGCCTAAACGTAACATGTCCGGCACCACACCGTTCACTATAGCAGATTTATACCTGAGGCATGCAAAATTATTCATGGCAAAACTGTAGCTATTCAGATACACAAATATACTATATAAGTAAATGTATTTTGTGTTTACAAGTTCATAATGATCACAGTTGATGGCTTAGTTTAAGGGCTATATGTGTGCTATAAGAGCTGATGGATTTACAACCATGGACAACCAAATGGAATTTGTCCATTTCTTCTGAAACACATGAAAGTGAGTGGCCGGTAAACAGGAAGAATAGAGTGAACTTTATGTGTTTATATGTTATATGGCTACATACAAGCGTTTGACGTGGGAAAAAAATCTAATTATGTTTGAAAGGTTTAGCCTATTATTATTATTATTGTTTCAATATACATTGGCTCTTCTTCTTCTTCTTCATTATTATATACATGGTTTATAGTGGTTATGTCCCTCTCTGGCTCATTGCCAAAAACTGTGCTAATTCAGTGTGATTATACGCTTCAGTAACATATATTAGTATATTGATCAGAACTCTGTTTTTTTTTTCTTTTGAAGGTAAAGACTTGGCGAGTCACAGGTCTCAAGTCCAAGTCAAGTTTCGAGTCATTGTTGTCTAAGTCGAGTCACAAGTCTTTGATTATGTCAAGTCAAGTCACAAGTCCACAAAATTCATGCGACTCGAGTCCACAACTCTGAATATTATTATATTAATTATACAGTGATCATTCGTCTTAGTGCATTAATTAATAACAAATAACAACTTTAATATTTACCAACTTTCAAAATTTTTAAATGTATTAATAAATGTTGAATTTAACAATCTTAATGAGCTTTTATACAGCATTTACTAACCTTAGTTTGTTACAAAATTACTCTTATTGTAAAGTGTTGCCATTTCATATAAATCCAAACAATCATGGTTAAAGATGGCCATCTTTAAATATCACAAAGGCCATAGCATTGAAATTACATGCATATGTATATTGTATGTGTATCTTGCACTTTTTTTGCTTCTATTTTAGA